TGCTGCTGCTGCAGGTACCTTCAGCCTTACATGGACAGAGACGCCCTGGTTTGTTTGCTGCAGCAGCAGCAGCAGCTGCAGAGCAGCATGCAGCGGCTGCTGCTGCTGGCAGCAGCAATGAGAAAAGCCACGCAGGGGCAAATTGCCGTTGAGTCCATCATCGACCTTGTAAACCCTAAACCCTAAACCCTAAACCCTAAACCCTGAATACTAAACCCTAGCACTAAAAGGCCGATCCTTTATCTTTCCCCTTAACCACTTCGACTCCACTTTATTAGCACATCACACTTTAGCGTTCAGAATGTAGGGTTTGGGGTTTAGGGTTTAGGGTTTAGGGTTTAGGGTTTAGGGTTTAGGGTTTGAGCTCAGATGGTAAATGCACTACAGCGAGAAGAAGACCCTTGGGTTTTGTGGTTTGGCCTTCGCTCTGTAGTTAAACTCATCTTCCACCTCTTGCCACGAACCCTAAACCCTAAACCCTAGACCCTAAACCCTAAACCCTAAACCCTAAACCCTAAACCCTAAACCCTAGACCCTACACACTAAGCCTTCTACGCTCTACACTCACTAGCAGAGGCCCGACTTTCGTGAACTACGCCTCTCCCGGCTTCTGGTTGAAGCTTCGTTAGGGTTTAGCTTTTAGGGTTTAGGGTTTAGGGTTTAGGGTTTAGGGTTTAGGGTTTGAAGTTTGAGTGGCGCCTTTGCAGCTGAGGTATTTCGCACGGCTGCTGCAAAAGTGCTGGAGGTATCTCTTGAGTGTTCTGCTGCCCCCCAGCAGCAGCAGCAGCAGCAGCAGCAGCAGCAGCAGCAGCAATCGGTACAGCTGCTGCTGCCGCGACCGCCCCAGCAGCAGCAGAGCTCTCCCCTGACACCGCAGCAGCAGCAACAGCAGCAGCAGCAGCAGCAGAGGCGTTCCAGCAGCAGAAGCAGCAGCAAAGCAGCAGCAAGAGCTTCGCTTCAAGTTTCGTGGCTGCATGCTGCTGTTACTCTTGCGGTGTCTGGAGACCAGATCTTGCTGCTGCTGCACCTGCTGCTGCTGCAGCCGCTGCTGCAGCAGCAACAAGGCTCTCTAAGCCGAAGCAGCGCTGCTGCAGCACCTGCTGCTGCAGCAGACGCAACAGCCTGCAGCTGCAGCAGCAGAAGGGGCCGCTGGCCGTGTCTGCTGCAGTTGCAGCAAGCGTTGCCTTGCTGCACTGCAGCAGCAGCAGCAGCAGCAGCAGCAGGAAATAAGGCAGCAGCAGCAAGCTACTGCGGTGCTGCGCTTTGTCCTTATGTTGCGCAGCTGCTGCACTTTGCGTGCTGCAGTGCACGAGCAGCAGCAACTGCTGCTGCCTCGCCTGCTGCTGTTGCTGCTGCTTCTGCTGCTGCTTCTCCCACGCCTGCTGCTGCTTCTGCTGCTGCTACACCTGCACCTGCTGCTTCTTCTGCTGCAGCAGCAGCAGCAGCAGCAGATGCAGCAGCAGCGCCGCTTCGCCATAGTGCTTATTCTATCAGCCGCAGGGCTCTGTGGAGAGGGGCTCTCAGTTGCTGCTGCTGCTGCCGCTGCGTGCTGCTGCTGCTGCTGCAGTTCCCGCTGCTGCTGCAGCAGCAACGATGGCTTATTTTAGAGAGGCTCTGCGCTGCTCCTGAACGCGTCCTTACTGCAGCAGCAAATGCTCGGGCAGCAGCAGCAGCAGCAGCAGCAGCAGCAGCCGCTGCTGCTGCTGCAGCAAGCCCCGCAGCCTCCAACTGCGAAGGAGCCACGCCAACAGCAGCAACCCCCGCAGCAGCAAGAACAGCAGCAGCAGCAACAGCAGCAGCAACAGCGCAGCAACACAGGCTGTGGGGCCTTGCCAAGGCGCAGCTGCTAGCAGCAGAAGCAGCAGCAGACTGCAACAGCAGCAGAGTTGCTGCTGGACTTTCTCGCTGCCATGCTGCTGCTCCTGTGCTGCAGTGCAAAGAGGCAATCTGGGCCCGAGTGCTGGACCCGCCTGCTGCTGCTGCTGCTGCTGCTGCTGCTGCTGCTGCCTTCTACCAACGCGTGGAGGGCCACGACGAGCTGCTGCTGCAGCAGCGCCTCGAACAGACCCAGCAGCAGCAGCAGCAGCAGCAGCAGCAGCAGCAGCAGAGGCGCAGCAGCAACCTGCCCTTTGAAGAGCGTTTCTTCAGGCAGATTGCTGAGGTGTACGTACACCTCCCCTGCAGCAGCAGCAAAATGATCTGGAGCAATTTATTCCCCATGAACTGCTGCAGCAGACTGCGGCTGCAGCACGCGCTGCAGCTGCTGCTGCTGCTGCAGCGCAGCAGCAAAGGGAGGGCTAGAAGCAGCAAACAAGCAGCACCAACAGCAGCAGCACTTAAACAAAGGCAGCTGCTGCTGCTAGCAGCAGACGGACACAACGCTTTGCTGCTGCTGCGGCGGGCCCAGCTCAGAACAGCCATCCCAAAACGCTAAACCCTAAACCCTAAACCCTAAACCCTAAACCCTAGTTCCCCGTCCACAGCTTAAGCAGGTGGCTGCTTGTTGCTGCTGCTGCTTCTGCTGCTGCCGCTGCAGCAGAGCTTCTCAGCAGCAGCAAATACTTGCGTGGCATTACCGAGTTTTTGCAAATGAACGCAGCAGCAGCTGCTGCAGCTGCTGCTGCTGCTCCTGCTGCTGTAGCAGCAGAACTGCCTGCTGCAGCAGCTGCAGCAGCAGCAAACATTAATTCGGCCCGTTTTGCAGCACAGAGGGCTGCAAGCATGACCTGCTGCTCAGTAGCTAGCTAGCTAGCCAGCTAGCTAGCTGTGAGCAGCTAGCTGCCAATGAGAAGCTAGCTAGCCAGCTAGCTAACTAGCTAGCTAGCCAGCTAACGATCCGGCCGGCTAGCTAGCTAGCTAGCGAGCCAGCTAGCTAGCTAGCGAGCTAGCCAGCTAGGCAGGTAGGCAGCACGCCAGCTAGCTAGCTAGCTGCCTAGTTAGTGGCTAGCTAGCTGGCTAGCCAGCCAGCTAGCCAGCTAGCTAGCTAGCCAACTCGACAGCTAAACTGCCAAAAAGCCAAATTGCCCAGTAGCTAGCCACTTAGCCGGCCAGCTAGCTGGCCAGCTAAATAGCTAGCTAACCATGTAGCTAGCTAGCCAGCCAGATAGCGAGCTAGTCGGCTAACTAGACTGCTAGCCACCTAGTCAGCTAGTCAGCTAGCTAGCTAGCTAGCTAGCTAGCCACCCAGCTGAAGAGCTAGCTAGCCAGCTAGCTAGCCACCCAGGTAAACAGCTAGCCAGCTAGACAGACGGCCAGCTAGCTAGCTAGCCAGCTGGCTAGCTAGCTGGCTATCTATGTATCTATCTGGCTAGCTAGCTAGCTAGCTAGCTAGCTAGCCAGCTAGCTAGCTAGCTAGCTAGCTAGCTGTAAAGGGCCATCTGTCGGGCAATCTTTTCGAGTCCCTCTGTCCTCTCAAACTGGCTGCGGCTCAGCCAGGCCTCCGGCTCTTGGCGGGCCACCAGTCCTAAACCACAAACCCTAAACCCTAAACCCTAAACCCTAGACCCTAATATCCAAACCCTAAACCCTAAACCCTAGACCCTAATATCCAAACCCTAAACCCTAAACCCGAGGCCCTCTGCTCCCCACCACCTCTCACCCCAGCACCAGCCGCCTAGCAGTTCTCCTCTGATCCCGTTTCCAAAAGACGACCCTAAACCCTAAACCCTAAACCCTAAACCCTAAACCCTAAACCCTAAACCCCGAACCCTTGGCTGACCAAATAATAAGGCGCCGCGGAAGGCAGCAAGCTGGCGGTCTTCACAAGGCAGCACCTTGACCCTGCAGCAGCAGCAACAGCAGCAGCAGCAGCAGCAGCAGCAGCAGCAACAGCAGCAGCAGCAACAGCAGCAGCAAAACAAGAACCACTGCTTCTTTAGAGCCTAGCCTGGAGCGCCTGGACACGGGAGTCCTCTGCTGGGCGCCACGGCTGTTGAGGGTTTAGGGTTTAGGGTTTAGGGTTTAGGGTTTGGCGCACTCTATTTGGTCTTTGACATTGTAATAAGCGCCAGCAGATTCTCTCCAGGAGCGCAGCAAATCCATTTCCAGCCTGCAGCAGCGGCAGTCCAAACCCTAGGGTTTAGGGTTTAGGGTTTAGGGTTTAGGGTTTGGAGCCAGCCCTCCGCCCTCGCGCCCAGGGCTTAGCGAATAACGCTAGGGTTTAGGGTTTAGGGTTTAGGCCAGCCCTCCACGGTGCGCCCAGCGCGTCGCGCGCAGCGCCTAGGGTTTAGCCCCTAGGGTTTAGGGTTTAGGGTTTAGGGTTTAGGGTTTAGGGTTTGCCTGCGGGCGAAGTGAGGCAGCTGCGAAGTTCCTCCAACTAAACAAATTCTTTTTAACCATCCCTCTCTTTCGCAGACAGAAGATCTTCGGAAGCACTGCAGCACCAACTCGCTGATGCTGCTGTGCTGCGCGCAAACCCTAAACCCTAAACCCTAAACCCTAAACCCTAAACCCTAAACCCTAAACCCTAAACCCTGAACTCGGGATACTAAACGCTAAACGGCGCTAAGGGATGCCTCTCGCTGCCAGCGCCTCAACAAGGCCCCCAAGAGGCAGGCTTCGATTTCGCAGGGACTGCAAACGAGGGTTTAGGGTTTAGGGTTTAGGGTTTAGGGTTTAGGGTTTACGTCCATGCTGGGGGCAATTGCAGCTAAATTTGAATCGGGCAAAAGCTGAGAAGAGAAAAATATTTCTGGAATCAAAAATGTCTCCGACCAAGGCTGCACCACGGACCCGCTGCAGACCACTAATCCCAATACTGCCTCGGGCGGTTTACGTTCGCGTCCGCGTAGTACCGCGCCACGTTTGGCTGCGCTGTCTTCCAAACTGCCCCTCGTGAAGCGCCACCTGGAGGCCTTCGCAGTCACTATTCTCGCAGTGGTCTAAACCCTAAACCCTAAACCCTAAACCCTAAACCCTAAAACCCTAAACCCTAAACCCTAAACCCTAAAGAAGGGCGAAATGTTGCACAGCGAAGTCAACAAACTGTTCACCAACGCGGGGGTGTTTCCCGCGCCCTGCATAAACCCTAAACCCTAAACCCTAAACCCTAAACCCTAAACCCTAAACCCTAAACCCTAAACCCTAAACCCCCCTAAACCCTAAACCCTAAACCCTAAACCCTAAACCCTAAAACCCTAAACCCTAAACCCTAAACCCTAAATAATCCCAATACTGCCTCGGGCGGTTTACGTTCGCGTCCGCGTAGTACCGCGCCACGTTTGGCTGCGCTGTCTTCCAAACTGCCCCTCGTGAAGCGCCACCTGGAGGCCTTCGCAGTCACTATTCTCGCAGTGGTACCTAAACCCTAAACCCTAAACCCTAAACCCTAAACCCTAAACCCTAAACCCTAAACCCTAAACCCTAAGCTCCAAGTCCTAAACCCTTGGAACCCGAAGCCCTGAAGGCTGCGCGCAAAACCCTTATCCTCGAGCCACCTCGGGCCGCTGTGTAAGGGCGTAGGTCCTAGACAGGGAAGTTAGGGTTTAGGGTTTAGGGTTTAGGGTTTAGGGTTTAGGGTTTACTCGCTACAGGTAAAAAGAGGCTTCAGCTGTCGGTGGTTTCGGTAAAAGTGCAGGTCCAGAGCAGGGTCTAAGCTGCACATGCACTCACACTTCCAAACCCTAAACCCTAAACCCTAAGCCCTAAACCCTAAACCCTAAACCCTAAACCCTCAGTAAAAGCCTTGCAGTCTATACGTGAGCCCTAAACCCTCGGCATGAAACCCTGAAATGACCCTGTGCTCGCCGAGGCTCCTACAGCCAAGCGGTTAAACCCTAAACCCTAAACCCTAAACCCTAAACCCTAAACCCTAAACCCTAAACACTCGTTCATACCTAACGTAGCACTGGGTCTCTTTGTATCTTGTCAAATCTCTCCAGTCAAGAGACTGCGGACCCCAGCGGCCGCCCCCTGCCCCGAAAGCATGTCCTGCTGCTGCAGCAGCCGCTGCTGCTGCTGCTGCTATATGCTGCTGCTGCTGCTGCTGCTGCTGCTGCTGCTGCTGCAGCTGCTGCAGGGCGTCCTCTGCTGCTTCGCAGCCATTCGGCTCTTGTTTCACTGCAGCGCCCCCTCCACCACGCGCCACCGCAGCAGCAGCAGCAGCAGCAGGAACAGCAGCAGCAGCAGCAGCAGCAGCAGCAGCAGGAACAGTTTGCTTCCTGAGGTGCAGCAGCAGCAACTCCGACAGCAGCTGCGCGCCGCTGCGAGTTGAAGTTCTGCAAAATGAAATTGGGGAAAGAGATAAACCCTCGACTGGACAAACCCTCAAACCCCCCTCGCCGATGTCCACCACCAAGGCTCCTGCAGCAAACCCTAAACCCTAAACCCTAAACCCTAAACCCTAAACCCTAAACCCTACTTACGGATCAAGCTGGAGCGTTTAGGCGGTGGAGTTTAGGGTTTCCAATTAGGGTTTTGGTTTGATACTGCCACGCGCAGCTGAAGGACTACAATGCGGGGCTCGCCGTTTTCCGCCGAGGGTTTAGGGTTTAGGGTTTAGGGTTTAGGGTTTAGGGTTTAGGGTTTACGGACTCACCTTGCTGAGAGCAAAGGTCAGGCAACAAAGGCAAATGGGAGTAAACTGCCATTCGCTCGCTGGTCATCAGTTTGACGCCTGCAACAAACCCTAAACCCTAAACCCTAAACCCTAAACCCTAAACCCTAAACCCTCAGCCACAAACCCTAAACCCCTGTTTGCTTAATTGTGCAGCTTTTGTGCTAGATTTCAGCTACTGCTAGCTGCAACAGCAGACTCGTCAACTCAGGTGCTAAACCCTAAACCCTAAACCCTAAACCCTAAACCCTAAACCCTAAACCCTAAACCTCACGTTTAAATCGCCGCTGTTCAAAAGCCCAACGGAGAAGCAGCGAAACGAGCTGAGGCTCTCCTGGCAGCGCCAGCAGCAGCAGCAGGTTGCAGTCGCTGCAGCAGCCGCTGCTGCTGCTGCTGCTGCTGCTGCTGCTGCTGCTGCTGCTGCGAGGTGCATCTCGTAGAGCCTGCAGCGCATAAGCAGCCGACGCCTCTGTCTTCTTAGTTCAAACCTAAACCCTAAACCCTAAACCCTAAACCCTAAACCCTAAACCCTCAGCCGTAGACCCTTAAAAGTCTGAGCCTAAACCCCAGGCCCCAAACTCTAGATCCTGCGCGCTAAACCCTCATAGATCTCAGCCTCAAACCCTACACCCTAAACCCTAAACCCTAAACCCTAAACCCTAAACCCTAAACCCTAAACCCTCACTCTGTCGAGAGCTTCATCGAGCACCAGCAGCAGCAAATCTAAAGAGCCGCCGCTGCTGGCGCAGTGCGCAGGATGAGCAGCAAAGACAGGGCAGTAGCTGCTGCTGCTGCTGCTGCTGCTGCTGCTGCTGCTGCTGCTGTTGCTGCTGCTGCTGCTGCTGCTGGCGTCAAAGGCCTCCCAGCCAAAAAGCGTCTGCAGCACATTCACGCTCTGCAATCCTAAACCCTAAACCCTAAACCCTAAATTCTAAACCCTAAACCCTAAACCCTAAACCCTAAACCGGTTATTCCAAACCCTAAATCCCAGCAGTGCAGCCACGCGGAGTCGAATAATTGAAAGAGACAGCCGTGCATTCAGAGCTGGGGCCCGCAACCTAGGGTTTAGGGTTTAGGGTTTAGGGTTTAGGGTTTAGGGTTTACCTTGCAGCTGCTGCCACAAGGCACCCGCGAAACAAAGGCCGGCAAGCGACAAGCAGCATGCAGCAAACCAGCGAAGCCAACGCGCACCTCACTGCAGCAGCAGCAGCAGCAGCAGCAGCAGCAGCAGCAGCAGCGGAGTTGCAGACTTATTAGTGGCAAGGGAGGCAGCAGCAGCAGCAGCAGCAGCAGCAGCAAAAGCAATAGCAGCAGTAGCAGCACTGAGCACCTCAGCAACAGCGTATGTGCCTAGAGACAACCCTCCCCCAAACCCTAAACCCTAAACCCTAAACCCTAAACCCTAAACCCTCACCTGCAGCCAACTTCTACCACAATGGTTTGACGGTCAACTTCGGGTGCTGCGCCGCTCAGGGCGCCTCTTAAAGACGAAGCCTCCAGCATTAGGGTTTAGGGTTTAGGGTTTAGGGTTTGGGGGTTTAGGGTTTGAGGCCTGCAGCCATCTAGCAGCTCAGTAAGACCTAAACCCTAAACCCTAAACCCTAAACCCTAAACTCTAGACCCAAAGCCGTCAATGGAGCGGACACGAGCCAACCACTCGTTGGCTCCCATCGCGTTCCAGTAAGGATTTACGGTTTAGGGTTTAGGGTTTAGGGTTTAGGGTTTAGGGTTTAGGGTTTAGGGTCTAGAGATTGAGCCACAAGGTTTAGCTGCTGCGCTTGCACCGCAGCGCTTCGTGTGTGCTGCCGCTGCTGCTGCTGCTGCCGTGGCTGCTGCAGCAGTGTCTGCAGCACTAGTGCGAATGAAGCAGTCAGCAGCAGCAGCAGCAGCAGCAGCAGCAGCAGCAGCAGCAGCAGCAGCAGCAGCAGCAGCAGCAGCAGCCCCAGAGGGTTTGGCCTGCAGCAGCAATTAGATTCGGCGCTAATGTTTTGTCTTCATTTTGCTGCTGTGTTGATGCTTCTTTAAATAAATTAAATAAATAGCAGCAGCAGCAGCAGCAACAGCAGCAGCAGCAGCAGCAGCAGCAGCAGATCCCTGGGGCCCCCAGTAGGCTACGTGGCTCCTCGTCGGCTGCGCTGCTGCTGCTGCTGCTGCTGCTGCTGCTGTTTTTGCTGCTGCTGCTGCTGCTGCACTGCATAACAATAAGGCTAGCTTCTACTATGTGTTAATTCTGCAGCAGCTTGCTGCTCTCTGCCCTCATCTGCTGCAGGTGCTGCTGCTGCTGCTGCTGCATGCTGCTGCTGCTGCTGCTGTCTGTTCCCAGCAGCAGCAGCAAATATCTTTTTCTTTCGGCTGGAAATTCCTAAACCCTTTTTGCTGCTGCAGCATCTAGCTCGCTAGCAGCGGACAGACAGCTGCTGCTGCTGCTGCTGCTGCTGCTGCAGTAACTGCAGCTCCACGGATTCCTGCTGCTGCTGCTGCAGCTACTCCAGCAGTTGCTGCTGCAGTTTCTACTGCCAAGCTGCGCGGGAGAAGGCTCCGGTGAGCAGCAGCAACTGTTGCTGCTGCTGCTGCTGCTGCTGCTGCAGCAGCAGCAGACACCGGTGACCTGCTGCTTGCTCAACAGCGCTGCGCCAAACCCTAAACCCTAAACCCTAAACCCTAAACCCTAGGATGCGAACTCCGAATCCGAAACCTAAACCCTAAACCCTCTCTCTCTCGCAGGCTCGCTGTGTATGTAGAGCACTGTGCTGTTGCATGCGCTGCTGCTGTGCTGCTGCTGCTGCTGTTGCTGCTGCTGCTATTGCTGTTGCTGCTGCTGCTGCTGCTGCTGCTGCAGTTAACGAAGATGGCCGGCAACGAGGCGGCAGACTGTCTCTCCAGCTACTCCGCTGTTGCGGGGATGCTCACAAAGAAAGTGGTGAGCAGGGTTTAGGGTTTAGGGTTTAGGGTTTAGGGTTTAGGGTTTGGGAAGTAGGGTTTAGGGTTTAGGGTTTAGGGTTTAGGGGATTGCTGCACTCGTGCAGGTGGTTGTTCATCCAATAGTTTTGCTGTCGGTCGTGGACCACTTCAACCGCATAGCAAAAGGTGCGTCCTAAACCCTAAACCCTAAACCCTAAACCCTAAACCCTCGTTGCCTGCTGACGCTAAACCCTAAACCCTAGATAATTTCAATTTTCCTGAGCAGCAGCACCAAAGGAAATTAGGGTTTACTAGGGATGAGACTCGACTGTGCAACGTGCCCCGTGTGGCTTTCAGTGACTCCAAGGGTTAGGGTTTAGGGTTTAGGGTTTGCGGCAGGGACGAGTCGGCGAGTTGTGGGGTGCGTATTGGGGGAAGTTGTTGGAGACGAATGGCATGCAACGAATTGTTTTGGCGTTGCTTGGCGTTTAGGGTTTAGGGTTTAGGGTTTAGGGTTTAGGGTTTAGGGTTTAGGCAAATCCCAAA